CAGTGAAGTGCCCAGCCTTTTGAATGCTACACAAAGAAGCATCCATCTGATCTCAAATTCCTTCTGGGAAGGGGAAATTTGGATGAAAAGGAGGAATTCTGAAATTGGCTGGGAATTAGTAGTTCTGAGTTGTCAGGCTGTGGCTGAGCGACTGCTGGGGAAATGTGACCTTTCCTTTGCTCCCTGTTCCTCCACCTCACTCCTACCTTCTCAGAGGTGACATAATAATATCTAACAGCCAGTTTCTCACCTCTGCAGGCTATGACTGACACTGCAATGAACTGAGGGAATACAGCTTGAGGGTTTTTTTCCCCTTTTGACTTGGATTAGGAACAGCATATCCCCAGCACACACATGACTCAGATTCATGGAAATCTTTGCTGTGCTTGTTCCTGCTGTGTTCCCCAGTTGTATGAAATGGCCTCTGGACTAGAAAATACATGGGATGGTGAGATTCCTCCCATCTCTTTCATAGCACAGAAAGTGGAAACAGCAGTTCCACCTCTCAGTGAAATCAGCCCAATTGATCAGATTTTGAGTAGGCTTGAAGTGGAAAGATGCACCTTCTCTTATCTCTGGGTTTTAACTTCAATCAATGACAGAAAAGAGGATGCACATAAGTACCCAGCCCATGTCTACCCTTTCAGCTGAGCCCACACAATAAACCTGGGAGATCCATTTGGGGTATGAGATCTTCTTTGGGGGAGGACCCAGGTTGTTTGGTGACTCAGAATATTAAGTACGACCCCTCTGAGCCCAAAGTAATGCCGAGGAACGGCCAGGAGGGAAATGAAAAGCTGATAACTGCATGCACAATAATCTGTTCTAAATTAGCACTGACCCCTCAGGAAAGAGATCTTGGAGTCACTGTAGATAGTGATTTTATGTGTCATCTCGGTGGTCAGCAAAAGCAAAAAATGTGAATAAAATCCTAGAACTTACTAGGAAATGGATAGAAAACAGGGCCTTTCTTTAAAAGTGTGTGTATTTAAATCCCTAATGACCCTAAATCTGGGACAATGTGTACTTCCATTCATGCCATATAAAAATGGTATAGTAGAGTTAGAGAAGGTAGAAAGAAAGATGATCAGAAATGTGGTGTAGTTTTAATGTGAAGAATGGCTAATCTGTAATTCTCATTTCAGCTGGGAGTCATCCAGTGTGCCAGCACACATCTACAGAGGGATGATGGGTCTGAAAAGGGTGAGTAAGGAATGGTTATTCATTATTTCTCATACCATGACAAACCAGGGGCACTAATGGATTGGTCAGATACAGGTTTAAAACAAACATGAAGAACTTCCTTTACACACATCATGGGACTTGTCATGGCAGTTAAAAATATAATGTTTCTCGGGCAGGCTTCAGAAAAATCAGTAGAGAAAAAGCTCAGGGATAGCAACCTGATTGTGCTGGTTTTGGCTGGGCTGCAGCTAATTTTCTTCATGTAGCAAGTATGGGGCTGTGGTTTGGATTTGTGATGAAAACAGTGCTGATAATATAGAGATGTTTTAGATACTTCTGAGCAGTTCTTGTGCAGCATCAAGGCCTGTTCTGCTGGGAAAGAGGAAGAAGGGGGAGTTTGGAGAGATGATGTTTGACTTCCCAAGTTATCATTACATGTGATGGAGCCCTGCTTTCCTGGGGAATGCTGAACACCTGCCTGCCCAAGGGAAGTGGGGAATGAATTCCTTGTTTTCCTTTCCTTGTGTGCACAGCTTTTGCTTTACCTATTAAACTGGCTTTATCTCAACCTTCTGCTTTTCTCACTTTTACTCTTCTGATCCTTTCTCCCCCCAGGGGAGGCTGAGTGACTGGCTGTGTGGGGCTTAGTTGCCAGCTGGGGTTAAACCCTGACAGTCGTTTTTGGCACCCAAGGTGGGGCTAGAAGGGATCAAGATAACAGCAGGTTTGAGTGGAATTTATATCTGCTATTGCTGTTTAGGTATTAACTGACAGCTCCTGTCCTTGCCATGACTTCCCTGGCTGTGTTTGAGAACCCAGTGCTTGTTAGTGGCTGCTTTTTGCTTCCACTGCTTGCTGTGGTGCTGTACTGCTCGTCATCTGACTGTGCTGTGCCTGGGAATGTTCTGACAACAGCAGCAGAGACGTACCTGGGCTGGCACATGGCCAGGAATCACTGCCCTTCCTGTGCTGCTGTACTGGACAGGCTGGAACTCCAGTGGGAAATCAAGTCAAGGAAACTGTGACCTGTGGATGAGTCCAGGAGAGAACAGGACAGCCCAAAACCTCTGTGGTTGTGATTATGCCACACCAGAGAAGGTTCATCTGGAAGAGTCTGAGCCTGTGGTCATGTCTGTGCTGCACCTCTAAAAGGGCCCAAAAATAAGTCCAAGATGGAGAAGGTGCATCTTGAAGCATGAGTGACTGTGCATGAGGTCACTCTGGACCACCTCAAAGCATCTGGCCATGGATAAGCCCATGGCAGAGCAGGTACACCCCTGGATGGGCTTCAGCCAGAGGCAAGGCCATGTTGGAAAAGGTTTTCTTCTGAAGGGGCTGTGGCTGTGGATAAAGCCATGATGGAGCAGGTACATCTCTGAAGATAAGGATATCCCATGGATAAGACCATGCTGGAACAGGTGCCTCTCAGAGTGACTGTGACTGTGCATAGGTCTATACCCTGTGGCTATACTGTGGCTCACATATAAGGCTCCAGGTGGAGCAGGTACACCCCTGAGGGACTGCAGTCAGTGGATAAATCCAAGCCAGGGTAAGAGCAAAAGCAAGAGTTCATTGCAATGTTAAACCCTGTAACCTGACCCAAAGGGACCGGGGAATGAGATCGTAAATTGCTGTAACCCACCATCTGAGCTGCATGTTACAGGAATTGCTCCAGCAGGAATCACCTGAACCAGTGGAGGACAAGCTTTATTAGCAGCAAAGCAAGTGCAGCAGTGACCTGACCTGGGCTGCCTTTGGTGCCCAAAAACTCCACACCACACATCACCTCTCCTGTCCTGAGCGACCACCAGAACAGTTGGAGCCCAAAGTCATGGACTAAATGAACTCAATTGAAATTTGATGGATATTTGTGGACATTTTATGGGTGTTTTATGAACATTTTGGTCCACAGATTAGAGGAATGATACCTGTGTATTATATCAAAGGATGGGAAGGGGGGTCGTGGGTAACACAATGAATTGGATAATGTGAGACCTGAGCACACTGTAAATGGCACGGAATAATGGGTGGAGAAGGTGCTGCTTTTGGCTGTTAATTTAGAGTTATTTTTTTTCAGAATAGCTGGTATGGGGCTATGGTTTGGATTTGTGCAGAACCCTGTTCTCCTGGAGATGACTGAACACCTGCCTGCCCATGGGAACTGAGGAATGAATTCCTTGCTTTGCTTTGCTTGCACATGCATGGTTTTTTCTTTAACTATTAAAGTGTTCTTTGTCTCAACCCATGAGTTTTCTCACTTTTGCCTTTCCAGTCCTCTGCCCCATCTCACTGGAGAGGAGTAAGTGAGTGGCTGTGTGGGGTTTAGTTGCTGGCTGGGGTTAAACAATGTCACTAATTGAGAATAATATAACAAAACCACTGAGCAAAGATGAAATTCCCTTTATAGTTTCTTTCTTACTTTCCCCTAAAGCCCTATTATCAGTAGATCTGTGACTGGGTTAGGTAGACTCAGGTCTTGACCACGATGGCAAATTTATAGCAATTAATCAGTTCCTACACTCACCCTATAACCTGCTTTCCTTCCAGCATGGCCTTGGCCAAGATATCTTATGGAAGTTGAACCTCAGTGATTTCCTATGTAATTTCCCTTTTGTGGATCCAGGGCTGAGAACAGCTGATCAGACATCAGTTCTCAGAAAAAAAAAAAAGAAAGAAAGAAAAAACCAAACCAAAACAAACAAAAAAACCCAAAACCAACAAAACCCCACATCTGGAGGCTGTAATGAATCACAGCCTGCCCTCAAATCAACACATGGTGCTGTCATGAAAACTATGAGCTGTGTAACCTGCCAGAGACGCTCTGCTCACCCCTGAGAACACCTCAGTGAGAGGAGATTCTATAAAGTGGGGCACTCCATTTCCAGAATGATTTGCCCTACTTCAGGAATATCTAGTGGGAGCCACAAGAGTAGCCAACAGGGAAAAACTACCTGTGGAGAAATGCTGAAATCATTATCTCCTTCAGAGGCAAGAGCACTGAGCAGAATATGGTATCGCTGTTCAAATCCGTGAAGAGCTGTTTTATCAAGGGAGAAGAAATCCAAAGGAAAAGTTTAAGCTGCTGTGGGGAAGAGGGTTTTCAGGTTTTTCAAGCAGCTGAGGGAGCTGGGGGTGTTCAGACTGGAGAAAAGGAGGCTCAAAGGAGACCTTATCACCCTCTACAACTCCCTGACTGGACTTTGTAGACAAGTGGGGTCAGGCTGTTCTCCAGGTAAGAAGCAACAGGACAAGAGGAAATGGCCTCAAGCTGTGCCATGAGTGCTTCAGGTTAGACATCAGGAAGAATTACTTCATGGAAAGGCTAGTCAGGCATTGAAACAGGCTTCTGAGGGAAGTGGTGGAATCCTCATCCTGGGAGGTGTTCAAGGAATGACTGGATGTGGCACTCAGTGCTCTGGACTAGTTGACAAGGTGGTGGTGGGTCAAAAGTTGGACTTGATCTTGGAAGTCTTTTCCAACCTCGGTGATTCTGTGATTCTGTAACATCAGGAGAGATTTTCCAATGGTCAGGACATCTAAACACTGGAATGAGTTGCCTGCAACATTTCCATTATGGGAGGCCCTGAAAAAACCCCACAATTTAAACAAAGATCCATCAACAGCGACCTAAAAATACCATGTCTCACTTTGGGACAGGAAAATAAACTGTGCAACCTCCTGAGTTCTCTCCCAGACCTATGAATTTGTAATGCTGTCACAAACCTCCCTCATAGGGTCGATAATTTGGGTGAAAACACTTTGGGTGTTCTGAATTAATTACAGAGCCTTTTACTGGGCTGTGGATTGGGACTGGCAATGTCATTTCAGTGAGGTCCATGAAACACAGCTATTTTAGCTTTCCATTCCTATGGAGAGATCTTCATTTCTCTTCCCTGCAGCAGGTTTCCAGAAGTATTCAGGCTTTGTTGGGTTTTCCGGGTAGAAACTGAAGGAGCCCTGTGAATAATTTAATCCATATTTCTTTAATCACAGCTGGCAGGAGCATGGGGTGCAGTTTCCCTGTCCTGGCTTCTGGTTTTTCAGCGTGAGTTTAGCTGGGCTGACCTTGGGTGGACAAAGATTTCATCGTCCCCCACAAGGAGCTGTTGTGGGTGATTGGAGAGGAGAAGGCTCTGCCACGCAGGCAGAGGTTGCTCAGGGCAACACAGCATGGGAAGCGGCTCGAATGGATGTGTGGATGAATGTGGTCACTGAAGAGGCAGGACTGGGCTCTTCCAAACTCTCCAGAGAGGGAATTCAGTCCTGTGCTGCACAACTGTTAAACCAACAAAGCCGAAACAGAGGAGTTGCTCTTACTTCACTTTGTACTGCTGAAAATGTGTTTGGATTCCCCTTTGTTGAGGAACTACCTGGTGACACAAATATTTGTGGTGCAGGGCTGAGATGAGCTCCTCTTTGTCACGCACTTACAACAACTGCAAACACCATGGAGATGCCACCACTGAGAGACACCTCGGGCAGCTTTTCCCTCACGCTGTTGCCCCTTCAGCTCACAGCTTCTGGGGGAAGGAGGCATGAGCAAGACCTTCACGCTTCTGCCTTACCACGGGGATAAACATCTCCCAGATGTCTGCTCTGGCTACACAGGATGTAAATGTCAGCCCTGTTCGTGACTGAAATCAGCAAGGAATGACTTGGAGCCGTCTGGCACGGGGCAGGAAATCTGTGTACTTTGTGTAGCTAATATTGCAGGGCCAGTGCCTTGTACACAAGAACTAAGTGAAAAGAACTGGAAACTAGATGTTTTGTTTATTTATCAGATTACCTCTCAGTGCAGTTGGCAAATATTTACTAGAGCTTGTAAGGAGCAGTCTGTAAAAGTTTCTACAGTCTGGAAATTCTCCCTTTCTCAGACATAAACATCTGGTTGGAGAAAGTTTTTTTTCCCCTGCTGCTTACATATTTTTTGGTGTGGTTGGTTGGGATGTTCTCTGTGATTTTTTTTTTGCCAGATGAGCAGATTGTTTACTCTACTCACTGCCTTCAGCTTGTGCTGTTGGCCAGGGCTGCTGCAATCCCCTTTCTGTGTATCTCTGCCGACTCTTCCGTCTTGCATTGGCTTTTTGGCATCACTGCAAGGCAACAGGGGGTATGTGAGTAAACAGTTCCCTGGGGAGGACTGCCAGAAGGAAGTTCAGGATTCCCTTGGGCTGTGAACATCACCAAAAGACTCTTCTTATGAGGACGGGCGGAGAGAGTTGGGCCCGTTCAGCCCTGAGAAGAGACAATTGAGAGGGGACCTTATCAATGCCTAAAGTATCTGCAGGGAGGATGTTAAGAGGATGGACCAGGCTCTTCTCAGGGGTGCCCAGCAATGGGACAAGAGGCAATGGGCAGAAACCAATGCACAGGAGGTTCCACCTGAATATGAGGAAGAACTTCTTTCCTGTGCAGTGGCTCAGCACTGAACAGGTTGCCCTGAGGGAGTGTGGAGTCTCCCTCACTGGAGTTATTCCAGAACCATCTGGACACAATCCTGTGCCATGTGCTCTGGGACGACCCTGCTGGAGCAGGGAGGTTGGACCAGGTGACCCACTGTGGTCCCTTCCAACCTGACCCACTCTGTGATTCTGTGACTCTTTGAAAGCCATTTATGAGCTGCTTGGCTTTGTCCTCCATTTGAGAGGACAAATAAATATCTACAGCCATTCCTCTATGTCCCTCTCCAACCCATTCCTCCAGACTGTGTGAAAACACTCCAAAAATGGAATGAGGACCACCCAGATGTTCTATGTGTAAAGTTTGGTGTTGTGACATCAGACACATCCCAAGGCTTCTCTGTGTTGCAGCACCAGACACAGCAACTTGTGTTTGGAGGCACATTTCCACTGCACAGGAATGCAGAAGGAGATCATTTCAGCCCAGCTGTTGTTGGCTCCGGGTCCCTGACAGCCTGGGATGGGTTCTCATCCAAAATGTACCCCATACTGTATTTTAATTAAACTGAACAAACAAACCAATCACGAAGCCATCCAGCAGAGCTCACTTTGTGTTTAGGCTGAGCTGGACTGTGCACCACTACGAGGAGGGAAACTGGGTATTGGCACAGCTTCTGCTGTCTAAATACTCCCAGCCAAGAGCTGGGATGTACTTTCTTACAATAAAAAGTTGCTGGGGAAAAAAGAAAAAGAAAAAAACAGCACAACAATCCACAAAGAAAATGGCTTCAGGACTGTTCCCCTCTCGCCCGTATTTATTCAAGCTGTCTTCCTCTCTCTGCAAATTTGGCAAACAGAGCCTGGCATCCCAGCTCGGGGGACACCTGTTAAATAAATAGGCTCAGTCTCTAACTGCTGCATTCATGGCAGAGTTTCCTGGTTCCCTTAGGCAGCTAATTTTTGTTGATTATCATACAGTACAGAGGGATTGTTTGTGCCTCTGCCTCCCATCCCGGCTCTGCCGCTGGTACCAGGCGTGTCCGCGTGACTCAGGCCCGCTGCCTGTGTGGAATAAAGAGTGATTTGATTCTATCATTTTACCATCTGTTAGTGTGGATCAGAAGGCAGGGAGAAGCAGCCAGGTGGGTTCTTGTAGAGGTGAACTGACCCCCTGCTGATTTGCTTGGTTTTCCCCTGTCGACGCCTCTTCGGAGAAACCTGAGAGCTGAAGCAAAGCTTAACTGGGAGCTGAACCAAGACTTAACTGAGAGCAGGAGTTGGTGTTGCCTGAGGCAGAGAGACAAACAAGCTCTCTAAGAGGCAACAAATGGGCTGGGAGGCCCTCAGAGAAGGACTGAGCAACATCAGGCATCAAGGGGCTAGATTTTAGCATTGAGAGCTCCAAGATATGCAGAGGAATTTCAAGTTTTGGCTGCCCCATCCCTGGAATTTTTCAAGGCTGGGCTGGACAGGGATCTGAGTAACATGGTCTAGTAGAAAATATCCCTGTCTGTGGCAGGGGGTTTGAAGAAGATGATCTTTAAGGTCCCTTCCAACCCTAACCATTTGATGACTCTATGATTCTATGAATTGAGCTGTCCCAGGATGTGCCTAATCACAGAAGCAGACCTGAACAGCTTCACACAACACACAAGGCAACATGGAGAAGGCCTGGAGCCAGGTCACTGAGGTGGTCTACATCACCTGGGATCTATTTCTCCTGAGCTGGGCCTCAAAAGCTACATATGGTGCTGGGCTGGGATGTTTTCAGAGGAGAACTTATCCCTCACCGCCTTCAAATACAGGCAGAGAGAGCTCATGCTCCATTCCCTGACCATATGGTCTGGCTGTCTGGTACAGTCACCTCCAGCAATCCAGAAAGTTGTCTATCCGGAGGTGGTGGGGTTTTAAAGGGAGTTTAGTTTTTGGTGATGTTTTGTAATTCACAGAATCATAGGAACATAGAGTGGTTGGAGGAACCTCAAAGATCATCTAGTTCCAATCCCCTGCCTTGAACACTTCCAGGGATGCAGCGTCCACAGCTTCTCTGGACAACCTGTGCCAGCGTCTCATCACCCTCACAGTAAAGAATTTCTTCCTAATTTCTGTCCACTCTTTTTAAGTGCCCACCAGCTCTCCTTGAGCTCTGAAGTTTCAGCAGTGAACTTCAAAACTCAACAGCCAGTGGAGGATGTTGTGTAGTCCAGAGAAAAACAGGTTCCAGGGCAACATTATTGTTCTCTACAACTGCCTGAAAGGAAGTTGCAGAGACGTGGGGATCAGTCTTTTCTCCCAGGTAACAAGTGACCGGCAACGAGGAAATGTCCTCAAGTTGCACCAGGGGAGGTTTAGATTGGATATTAGGGAAAATTTCTTCACCAAAAAGAGGTGAAAGGCATTGGAACAGGTTGCCTGGGGCAGTGGTGGAGTCACCATTCCTGGAAGTGTTCAAAAGTCATGTAGATGTGGCACTTGGACACATGGTTTAGTGGTGGACGTTTAGTGGTGGACTTGGCAGTGCTGGGCTTGATAACTGGACTTAAATCTTAAAAGTCTTTTCCAGCTTTAGTGATTTTATGATTCTATTCTGTTTCTTGCTAAGTCTAGGAAGCAGATGGCGCTGGTCAGTTTGACTATTTTCTTCCCCATGTTTTGTAATTGCCATTTCAAATCCAGTCTCTTCCACACCCAAATGGGGTATCCCAGAACTATCCATGTTGTGGGCAAGACGTAAGTTGCATGTGGAGGGGATATCCTTTGTCAAACCAAGAAACATTGGAAATGTTAGAAAATCATGTTCACATACACACTTTTTGTCAACCTAGACTGCTCTGCCCTCCTGGGAAGGATCTAGAAAGGGGTAGATTCCCTGCAAATATCACAGAATTAAGGGTGGGATTTCTGGCAAGGATTGAACTGAGAGGAGCAGCCCATCTATTTCTGTGCATTTTGGACTCCAGCATGGAATTGTACTCCTAAGGGATTCTCCAAACTGGCTAGAAAGATTCACAGTTTATTTCTGAGCACAGAATAAACTGAGTCTATCTATAGATTTGGCTCAAAACTGGAACTCCCTGGGAATTCCGCTGAAAAATCCCCTCCGTTTTCTTTTCAGAGATAATTATTTTGAGATGGCATGAAACTCTAATCTCCTGTGGAATGGGAACTCTCACACTCAGTTTAGACGAAGTTGTGAAGGGATTCCCTTTAAATCTTTTTCAAGCATGTCTGAAGCTCTCTGAGGAGCCTGAAACCCAATCTGCCAGCTCTGGAAAAGATGGGAACCCGAGCAGTCCTGGAAATCCTGAATAAAAGCCAAATACGGTGTTGCAAAAAATTGGGACAAAATTTGTTATTTTTCCCATAGGAAAACTGTTGATATTCCAGAAGCTCAATTTTCTCAGATGAAATAATTCTAGTGAAAATATCAGTTACATATTTATACATTTTAATTTTTTTTCTGTTATTTCTAAACCTGTGCACATTAAATGGCAATGACACTGTTATCCCACATACAGAATCTTAGAACCTCTTGGGTTGGAAGTGACCTCAAAGATCATCTCATTCCAACCCCCCTGCCACGGGTAGGGACACCTTCCACTATCCCAGGTTACTCAGACCCCCATCCAGCCTGGCCTGGAACATTTCCAGGGATGGGGAGTCTAAAACCATTCTGGGCAGAGATAAATATGAAAGGTTATGCAATCTCAATCATAACCTGATGGAGTCCAGCCTTCCAAAAAAACCTATTAAAAATTCTTAGCCCTGACATCCATGACTTCACCCAACACACATGAGAAAGTAGAAGAAAACTCACTTTTTTTGTCCATGTTGAATGAGAGACATTCACCTGACTCCTGCCATGCCCTTACCAAACCATCCCTAAAACAGATGCACATCTGCACCCTTGGAAATAGGTCTTGCTTAAAATGTTTGGCCATAAGCTGCCTAAAGAGAACAATTCCTTTATCTTGTCAAAGAGATGAGTGCAGGGTGGTTTGCTTGCAACACATGAACACGGATGATCCAATTCCCCTTTTCTCTCAACCTCCTTCGTCCCTCCAGCTTTTCAGGTCCTACCTGTATACACCTTCTTAGTCTGAGCCCATTCTTATTTATCTCCCCCCCCTACAGTGAGGAACAGCAGAGCAGACCTGGTGTTGTAGAGCTGGTTGCATTAATAACTCTGTCTCCACTCAGGGTTTCCCTGGTTTGATATCCAAGGCTGCATTCCCTGTTTTAGCTCACCACCCTTCAGCAGGACTCTGTTTGCCTGGTTGGATGGGTTTTGCAAGGCACAATCCCCTTCCCTTATGTGTTATTTCCATTCTTTGTTAAAGCCTGACCCTGCAATGAGACAAATCTAAACACATTGTGCTGGGATAAACCCTGGTTGTTCAGCCTCAGCTGCGAGGAGCTGGAGCAATCTCCTGTTTTCCTCATGTTCATGACTGATCAAAAAAGATAAATTCTTAGCTCTGGCTGCGAGATGGAGTCTTAAAAATGCCATTACACCCTGCCTTTTTGCTTTGCTTGAGGTCTCTCAGTGGATCAGTTAAGGAGTATCTGACTAGCAGCTAAAATCCCCTTTATAAAAATATTTGCTGTGCAGCCTGAGCAGAAACTCAAGTACCAGGAATTCTTTGCTGTCCAATTCTCCTTCCCTGTGATTTTGGCTCTTTAATCATTCATTTTCATGGAATCATGGAATCACAGAGTGGTTTGGGTTGGAAGGGACCTTAAAGATCACCCGGTTCCAATGCCCTTGCCATGGGCAGGGAAAACTTCCTTTTAATTTTAATGGGTATTGTTTTTTTTTAATTTCATTTTCATTGATTTTATTATGCATATCAACAAGTTACATACACTTTTGGTTCAACACCTAAAAAAATAATATATCCTAATCTGCTTATTTTATTGGTGTCGTTTATCTTAATTCTCGCAGGGACAATATCTCTTACAAGGATTTTGAAATACAATATAATAATTTTATTTACTGTATATCTGGTAAGTCTGAAATATAACCACACTTGGTTTTTTTCATCTTATTAGAAGAATGACACATCTGGAGAACTAGAACTTATTAAGTCATCTCTTCATTTTAATATCTGCCACTTATTCTGTATAGTGTATGCAGAATAATTCAAACAGCAGTAATTACCAAGCAAACATCTTTGAGTTGCAATAGTTTGCAGCACAGTTTAGCTGCTTCTCCTGAACGAAGAATTGTGGGTTTTGGAGGGGATTAAGTAACTACAGAGGAGCAGAAACCTCAGCTGATTACTAGCATGTCCATCATTCAGTAG